TCAACTTCGCCAAACTGCGCGAAGTGACCCGAATTGTGACCAAAAATCTGAATAAGATAATCGATGTCAACTTCTACCCCCTGCCCGAGACCCGCAACAGCAATATGCGTCACCGACCCATCGGTATTGGTGTCCAGGGATTGGCCGACGCCTTCATACTGATGCGGCTGCCTTTTGAGAGCTCTGAGGCCAAACTATTGAACATTCAGATCTTTGAGACCATCTATTACGGCGCTCTGGAGGCCAGTTGTGAGTTGGCGGCCAGGGATGGCCCGTATCAGACCTATGAGGGCTCTCCGGTGTCCAAAGGTATACTTCAGTACGACATGTGGAACCGCACGCCCACCGATCTCTGGGACTGGAAGGAGTTGAAGGCCAAGATTGCCGCTCACGGCGTTCGCAACAGTTTGCTGATGGCGCCGATGCCCACCGCTTCCACCGCTCAGATACTGGGCAACAACGAGTCCATCGAGGCCTACACCAGCAATATATACACCCGTCGTGTGCTGTCCGGCGAGTTTCAGGTGAGTTCTGGAATTGATCCAAACATTGTGGTGATTGTCTCTAACATGATCTCTCTGTGCCAACAGGTGGTGAACCATCACCTGCTCCGGGATCTGAGCGAACGCGGCCTCTGGAGTGAGCAGATGAAGATGGATATCATCTCTAAACACGGCTCCGTCCAGAACATCGACGCCGTTCCTCAGGACCTGAAAGAGCTCTACAAAACGGTTTGGGAGATCTCGCAGAAGACGGTGATCGAGATGTCGGCCGATAGGGGCGCTTACATTGACCAAAGCCAGTCGCTCAACATCCATATCGCCGAGCCGTCGGCCGGTAAGATCACATCCATGCACTTCTACGGCTGGAAACAGGGCCTCAAGACCGGGATGTACTACTTGCGCACAAAACCCGCCTGCAATGCCATACAGTTTACTGTCGATAAGAGCAAATTGACCGCTCAAACAGGTGTGGCCGCCGGTACGACACCGGCCGCTGCCGCTGCTAAAGGTTCGGGCGATATTAAGCCAACACCCGAACAGATACTGGTCTGTTCCCGTGAGAATAAGGACGAGTGTCTGATGTGCGGCTCTTAAAGCGAGAGTTGATTGTCAGTTCGAGTGATTGAGAATATGGTAACAACGTTTGAATGTGTTTTGATAATGAATTTGTATTTTTTAATCACAGTTTTAAGTACTGTTTCTTAATCGCCATTTGATTTGATTTTATGGATTTTTAACTTTGATTTATATTTTCAATTCATTCATTCATTCATTGGTTTTAATTGTAATTAATTTTGATTTTTTCCTCACAATCAATCAATTTATTCGTATTTTAGTTTTAAAAAGCAATTTGTGTTTTATTTGTAGTCATGAATTTGTGCTCAATTTTTTTTGTCCCTCAATTACATTAAAAGTGATTTTGATTTGATTTTTGATGATTTTTAAAATAAATAAAATTCAAAATTGTATTTGTGTTTTAACTATAAATTATTGCTATGATTGCAAACTATTCACTTAACTGTCGTATACTTATTATGTGTGAACTCAAACAATACGGCTAAGGATCCGGCCGTTAGTCCAGCGACGAGTCCGTAGAAAAATATTTTTATATCAACGAGCCTTAAATCTTGAAACGCTGTGTCCATCGGCTCGGAGTCCGACTCCCGAGTGCTGTTCGCCCGCGATTTCTCAATGGTTTTGGCAATTATTTTATTAACTCTCGTTCGCCATAGCATTAGACCTGTCTCTCGCATCAGCACATATCTGCAATATAATCGTGGTATTAAATTCATACATTTTGATCAATAATTTGTCATCACTTTTGTTTGATTTGGTGTTTAATACGCGGATTGAGTCCCCGTCGCAGCAAAACCCCGGCGACGGTTAATAACTGGTTCTCTCGCGACATATAAAGGGGTAGATTAGGGTTGAGATCAATCAACTCCTGAACTACCGGCTCGTCCGCTATAAGTACCGCTTTGCCCGACATTATCGGCGCCAACACTTTCGTCGAGTATATTTCGTACGAATTACAAAACTTGTACTTTAGTTGAGAATATTTATCCTCAATAAATACAAACACACAGTGTTTTAATGACAATAACTTAATGTTATTTTAATTCTAAACTACCTTTAAATAGAAATGATAGACAAAGTTACTCTTCTCAATGATCACCGATAGATCCCTGTCCTCATTGACCACATCCAGGAGGCTATCTATTGATGAAACGGGACTATTGGCCAGATTTGATAGAAATTTACTGATAAATAATTGATCCCAAAATAAACAATTGGCAAACCATGTGGCAAATACTATTTTAGCGATTGATCCTGCTCGCATATATTTGCCTATTATTGCTATTTATTATACAATAGCAATAAAATTTAATTAATAAAGTTTTACCGTCAAGTTAATTGTACATACGTTTGCCGATAAGCACCAAAATATTGTCCATTATCACACATATTGTAACCTCGGTAAAATCAAAAGCCTTTTTTAATTTAGTGTGTTTATTATATGCGTTAAATAAAAAGATCAAAATGCATATAATGAACAAAATGAATATAGCAATCCATGTTGACGTATGGAATGATTTGAACAGGGGCAGTTTGCCAGGTTGTTGTACCTGGCTCGATAATATTGTGATTATATTACCAATGAGAGATGGGTATATTGTTTCGCTTATGGACAGTCTATCATTAGTGTAGACCATTGCCATGGGCGCTATATCTGTCATCTGATAGTGAGATATGTTCAAACATGGTCAATTTAATTTAAAATTATAATCAATAAATACATTTGAAAAAATGTGGCCCATAATGCCAGTCCAGGTGCCATTCACGAGTCCGCCTCCGATCTCATCAAATATTAACACAAAGTCTATGCTATTCATTTATAATTAATCAACAAATACTTAATTAATTAAGTTATTTATAATAATTATAACAAGTTTTTATATTAATAAGGCATCATGTTCAATTCACCTGCATTTAAGATAATTAAATAAGATGTCAATAACAAAAATAGTATCATCGCAAATTTCGTATGTATTATCGTTTTTGACAGATCTCTTTTATGAGTTTTAATACTTTAATATTTGTTAATAAAATTAATTAATTTAAATAATTACCTGGGAAGAAAATAAGCTGATCCGTATGTTGCATAGACTGGTACCGGGTATATGGGTCATGCGATTAGTATTTAACAATGGAATGCAGAACTTTTTCATAGTTTTAATCGTAAACTATATTAATAAACGAGTTATATAATTTAATTTTAATTAATGTTTTACTTAAAAATTATTATTTTATTTTTAATAATTTAATAAAATGTAAAATACAGTGTTACAATTTTTATCATTTTTTTCTTTATGATTTATAACTCATAAGTTTATTAGAAATTAATTAGTTAATTAAATGTATATTATATGATGTCATTAAAATTAATTAAACTAATGGATTATATTGGACAATATAATAATATACCGTGATTACCATAGTTGTTTACAAATTATGTATATTTTTTATCATTGTTAATGAGATCTTACAAATAAAATACTAATTCAATTAACGAAATTAAAACATTTTTACTACAAATCATTGATAATAATATTGTGGTACATTTGTGCATATGTTAAGAATTTATATAAAGTACAAAACCTAATTTATATTCAAAATCAATGCATAAGCTATAATGATTTACAGTACCGGTAGTTGACGTATTTGATTTAACAGTATGTTCAGCAGGTATAATAAGGTAATATTGGTTGAATTCAAAATATAATTTAAATCATTTATTAACTGCAGTAAAATAACTATCAAAACATATAAATAGTCATTATTTATTTACAAGATCCAATAAATTAATTATTTAACTTACCTAGTTAACTAGTTGTGAAAATAGAATTACATACTTTGGTTGCACCTTGATGGTTGCACAAATAATATTTTACATTGTTATTGATTGCAGTTTAGGATGATTGATGCAAATAAATTACTGGTAAATGTTTTATTTAACACGTTTATAAATAGTATTTTATTATTTGGGCTTTCTATTGGAATATATTTTATAAATAAATTAATAAATATAAATTTAAATATATTAATCAATTGTGTGTTGAATTTGTCATGTCTTGTAAACTGAAATGGCATTGATAGTACAACAGAATTTTTAAAACTATATCATAATTAACATCTATTAGGAAATCTCAAAATGTGTAATTGTACTACATTATATTAAACTATACGGTATTAGTAATATAACAACATTTAATAGCAAAATAATTAAATTAATTGTATAATTATTTTAACATCTTAACATGCCTTGATAAATTATTAAAGTATAATTTGTTTATAAAAATTAGTGGCATTTTTATTAATTTTTAATTAATTATAATTTTTAATTCTAATAATTTTCTATTAATTAATAAATGCGTTAAAAAATTGATCATAAAATAGTAATTATTGTATTTAATTGGAAGCGAATCTAAAACTAAAATAATCTAGATTCTACTGTAGACAACATGCAATGCAACTTGCAACTTCAATTTAAGAAATCCAGATGAACCGTCAAAATTACAATCAATACTATTTCAATGCGGTTACTTTAAGTAACTTTTAAGTAACTTACTTCCAAGTTAAAACTTAGATACAGTAAATCTTATATATACAGTCTGACCTCCATATAAATAACTTATTGATGGGGCGTAACTGTTATCCCAGTTATCCCATAAAAGTGTTCACAAGTTGTCATTGGATTCAATTGCAAATGACGTCAGCTGTCACTACAAATGCGGACGTAATGTATGGACGACACGATCGCCACAATTCGCTTGAATGGACACCCGGGCCGACACAACCGCCGCACAGACCACACGTCTTCGGGCACTCGTATTGGACACACGTTTGTACGCACTATCGGTGCCGAAGCGCACCATCGCTGGCCATCCTATCCACTCATCCAATGTGGACACCAATGCCGTCAACACTATCGCGGATCTAAAACGCCGACTGTTTTGGCCGTCAATTACTGCCGATCCGGTGGCCAGTGATGTGTATTTGGGACACCGTTTAGTGGCCGACAATCAACCCATACGTGTGTTGCGGGACAAAGACTTTGTGGTGATCGGCGACCGCCGATGGCGTCAGTATTACGAGCGCCGAAGAGGTAAACAGTCGGCGAATGAGCGGCCAATTAATGGCACCAAAACGGCCGCAACCGGTGATAGCGGTAGTGGTGTCGCGACGTGTGGCCAGAGAGCGGTCACCATTGGGTTGGCCTTCAAAGCCGAACGCGAGTAAGTGTTTATAACCATTGTTTTCGACCATCAATTGGCCATTACTTGAACTCACGATATGATGTTTGTGTCCAATTATTTCTCGGCGACAGTCGATTGGCGGACAGCGTGTCGATGTTGGACGAGAAGATCGAATTGATCCAGAAGTCGATTACCATCTCAGCGGACACACCGACCGCCGATCAATACGTGTATGAATTAGTTTGATTGCAATTGTTTGCCGCACTCTTTATTTGTGTATTTGATTGGCCAGTGAATTGAGTGACGGTCTAAATGTGGTCAAAATGATTGGATCCGTGAATCGGGCGCTCGTCTCGCTGTCGGACATAGGGGTGGCCGACACGCCAGGGATGTCTTCCGATGAGACGTAAGTGCGATACTCATGAGTTTAGATGTGTTGAATTGAAGCCGTGTTTTGTATTGACAGACAAATGGTCGGCAATTTGATCCAATCGTCTGAAATGGTGCGCCAATCGTTGGCCGCAATAGTGGACACTTGGATGGCTATGAAACGCGTCAAAAAACAGCACGTCTTGGATGTGATGATTAAAATGAAGTGAGTATTGCGTATACTTTATATTGAAATGAATGTCTAATTGTTATTTTAATTGATCCGCAATTCTTGATATACAGAAAGATTAGCGAATGTATGGAACAGTTGTGGAACTCGAAGAACTTTTTTAAAGACATCGCTTGCATTGAATGTCAGACATTGAGCGCAAAGTATATAATTTATGATAATTTATTGTACTTTTAATTAATTTACAAATAAATTAACTCATTTTTAGAGACAATTGTAACGATAAATGTGAGACGAATGTCCCGATAGTGGCCAACGTGTCGTCACTGTCCAAACAGGTGCCAACGTATTGGCCATCTGTCAGATTGGGTGGCAAATGGATGTGTTGTCTTTGCGACCAACTGTTGCCGCACTGGAAAGCTGTTCAAAGTCACCAAAAACCGTTGCGTTGCCGCGGGTTTGGCGCTATGACAGTGACGGACAACAACTGCTCCATTGTTTTGTTGGCCAAAAGGCTTGACTAATATTTGAGTTGGATTTGAGTTTTAATTTATTTTTAATTATTTTTGTTTCCATTAGTTGTTATTTAATTCATTTTAAAAATTTATTTTTTAAATTTAGATATTTATATATTTATAAATTCTATATTTTGTATTCCGATATTTGTTTTGATATTATTTAATATAATTTAAATTTAATTTAATTTAATCCCTAAATTAAATTAGATTTTTATGCACTTATTTTTATACTTTTGTATTACTGTTAGTAAATGTAAAAAATTACAAAATGTTTGTAAATTAAAGACTCATTTATTAAAAAAGAACTCATTGATTGTTTTGATTAAATTTAAATTAATTTAATTAATTTTAATTAAATCTATAATTAATGACTGTAATTAGAAATATTGTAACCCATTATTTAATTTGCCCCCAAATAGTCCCCCAACACGTCGTATGTGAACAGCCTTTGAAAGCAAAACAAACCAAAATATCAATTCATTTGACAAGTGATTCGCTGAAGACATGAATGGTTTGAATATCTAATCACTGAAACACGCGTTAAAACCCATTCATTGGCCACCGAATCACCGAAAGCTAACCTCCAATCGGACCAATCAGACACCGCTATGGACTTCGGGAAGCTATCGGCCGCCGCGTGTCCACCACTTCTGCCACCGCCGGACACAATACGTCTGAAACTACTCGTATTCGACGCCCAGCTGTACATCATATCGTTGCCGAAGACACGGGAGGGCTATATCGGTCACGTGGACGCCGACATTCACGCCGAGGCCATCGCCAGCACTATTCCCGGTATGTCTGCGGCCGATATCGATACGCAAGCGCTGCCAATACTGC